TCGGCAGTAATGCACTTTAGTAAACCTGATAATTAAGGTGACCTAAAAAGATAAAACCCTAAAATCTTCTGTTTGATATTCATAAATTTATCCTTTCACTACGGAAGGCAACCAAGCACATTGAGAGCAATTTGTTTTCACATTTGGAAAGAAACTCCAACTAAAGACATCCCAATTGAATGCACCTATTCTATTGTACATGATACTGCTGGAGTATAAAAAGGGACATAATTAACACTGGACATGACAGAAAATCAAGAAAAGTAAGTTTTTACCATATTTCTTATGTTCACGAAGATTTTATTTCAATTTTATTAAATAATTTGATGAAAAAAACTTGTTGATCTTGTTATATTCAATCGTGTTATTTTTCAAGACTTAGGGTCTATGTGTTATTGCAAAAATAGTATTTCTCAATCAGCAGACCAATATTTGTTGGTTTAAATACAAACTGGGAGGTTTTCTGTGATTTTATTTTGAGTAATATTGGCATCGGTCAATATCATATATACAGAAGACAAATGAGAAAATGCTTTTTTACCAAAAATGAGGTATTTTTGTACAGCAAAAACAGTAGCTAACTAAGAAAAAGTAAGGTCCTTTTCAGATTCAGCGCTGTCAAATTAACAAAAAGGGTGTTTGGTGCCTCGACACCTTTTCAAAACCTTTTTTTTGTTGACCAGTATTATCGTTTAAATGACGTCAAATTTTAAAAGCAGGTACAGAAATAACTCCAAATTCTATGTTGAATTTTGTATATGTTTTTCAGGTAGAGAACTGCCATTCACTGGAAAAGAAAAGTCTTTTTTTATGTTAGGGCAGGCTCGAACGCAGTCGAATGAAACTGCAGAATGCATCGGAGAGAACATTTTCTAATGCAATGCAAATTTGGACATAGCGCAAAAACATTCAAAAAGGAAATTTGCCCGTACTCAGTTAACGTGTTACAGGCAGTGCTAATATACAAGACTTGTGAAATCTCTAATGGAATCCGCATTTTTTTCATTCACAATTTTGATGAATAAATCTTATTTTGCTCAACAAGAAAACGGTTTAGTTTCATCTGACTAGACTACATTTACATCAATGAAAGTTTGTGAAACATTCCCTATACAATGTGATGAGTTTGAAAACTATGTCGATGGAAAGTTCCACATAATTCTCAGTATAGACATCAATATTTTGTAGGCCATGTCACATCGCAAGTACGTCTGTCTTAGAGAACGACAGAAGTTAAAATACCACGCTTCATAACAGAGCTTAAAGGTCAGTTGGTTACATGAATAAAAATTTGCTTCATTGAAAATCAAGGCTAACGCCATCGAAACGGAGCAGCAATGGAGAAAGAATAAATGTGGTACAGACGCAACGTAGATTCTCTATACATTTTCTGTAAACATTTCCATGGTAATTGTTCTAATGAACTTTCCTCTTTGGTACGTAGACTTTACGAATTTAAGCGCAATACTAGATTGTCGGGAATGTCTCATCAATTTGCAGTTGAAATTGTTAGATATAACTGGCGTGTGGAACACTTTTCCGTATTTTTGCTTTCCAGTCAGCTTTGAGCTTCAAAATTTTAAATGAAAAATCCATTGTTAACACTGCCGTTCTAATTCCTGTATTAGTTTGTTGATTATTGCTACTACTAAGTGGAATATGTGTATGAGATGTTATATATAAGTTCGATACGTAAATTTGTAGCAGTGGTGCTTGTACTGCTAGCACCTCTTAGTTGCATCTCTGTCTTCGAGCGTAGAGCAATTCTCTTGTCTCCATCTCTGCGAACAGAGCGCAGCCTGAAAAAATACGGAGAAGCGCCCGGCGATGTTCATTATAACGATGTGCCAATTATTCCGCTGTCAAAATGCATTAGAAATAATTTCATTATAAACAAGTAATGATAATAATTATTTAAAAAATTAGACAAGGAAATGAATTATAATGAACAGAAAATAATAATTATTATTACATTTACACAAGTAGATGCAATAATAATAATAATAATAATAATAATAAATGATTATGCAATAAATAATAACCAATGAGTAACAAGTTAAGCAACAATGTACAAAAGTTGCCCAACATTATACAATAACTAAAATAAACACATTATGGTCAAGAAGAATTTCAACGCAATATACTTTAGAACAATTTTAAATATAACTGTTACAGCTCATCCAACAACGTTTAGGATAATACAATGGATCCCTACCCATAATGCACCATTAACCAGAATATATATATATATATATATATATATATATATATATATATATATATATATATATAGTCAACACTCAAACCCCATGTCCTGAAGATTGTGTTCAAGCATGAAGAATATCGCTGCTCGATATTGACTCAATGTCCTATATATATATATATATATATATATATATATATATATATATATATATGTACACACACACACACACACACACACACACACACACACACACATATATATATATATATATATATATATATATATATACCGATTTATCAAAACTATTTTCACAAATTTTCGGGGCTGGTCCCTCACATCAAAACAATGACAAATCGCCGTATATAGTTCGTTTTTGAGTTACTAAGTTTAAAGAAATTTACTCTACATGGCGCTGTGCTGCCATATACATTACGTTACATTAAGCCATTCGTGTACATTTGTGGCTGGTCTGTCTTCAACGCTTAACGTGTGTAGGAGCGAGTTAACCGAGAAGTGTTCCTTTTAACAATGGCAGGATATTTATATTGTGAGCAGGTGGATATGATTTTTACATACGGTCGCGCGTATGGCAATGGACACGCGGCTGCACGGCTGTATCAGATTGCGTTTCCAGATCATAGGCAGACGAGTTATCCAACCTTTGTTGTCGTTTATCATCGCATTGCCGAGATAAAATCCGTAGCAACACAAACTGTGAACCGAGAAAGACCGAGAAGTTCTCGTATGCCTGACCACAAACACATTCTACGGGATATTGGTGACGTTCCAGGTATCAGCACACGTCAAGTGGCCGTAACATGTCGTGCATCTCATAGATAATAATATGTAAATGAATATCATAATGTCATTTTTTGCCATCAAAATCTATTACAAATTATTTTACTATAAAAATAATTTGAAGATGCTATTATGAAAACTATTAAAACATAATTTTACTATAGGTTTAAGTTGAAAATGGTTTACATTATAATCGTGAATTAAAATTTATTTTACTACAAAATGTATTATAAATGATTTAAGTCCAAAATACCTTACAAATGATTTAAGTATAAAATACAATGCAAATTATATAAGTTGGATCAATTAAAAAAGAGATCATAAATTGTATTTGTTCTTTTGATTGCTTAGATAGTAGCGCGTCAAATTCCGGTAGACGAGAGTAAAAGGAAACAAATCAAGATTCTTACTTGAGAACCAGCGGAATTTTATGTCTGTAATGCATTGAATCTTCTTCTGTCAGCTAACATAACATACAAATTACTTACGTGTTCGATCCAGGTGTTCTGTCTCTGTCATGCTGTGAATATCTCGCTGTGCTCAGACATATGTCGTCTGTGGTCTCAGCAGATGAAACCAGCGCGATGGAAGAAAGAAGAACAAGAAAATGGCTCAATGTTTGTTAATGAGTATGTGAGTTGGCGTAGACCACAGGAACAAAAGATATTTGATAAAATTAAAAAATATATAACAAATAAACCTATATACACACACAAACACACAAACATACACACACACACAGACTTATATATATATATATATATATATATATATATATATATACAGACACACACACACACACACACACACACATATATATATATGCGAAGTACTTAGTGGAAAGTGCTCAATATCAGTGATAGAGCTAAGATATTCAGTTGTATAGATATAACTTTTCGACACTGCACGCTTTTGCAATCATCAGACAAAATGATTTTTGTCTGATGATCCAAAAAGCGTGAAACCCCTAGTCGCAAACTCACATCCATACAACTGAATATATATATATATATATATATTAATGAATGTTTCATTAAATAACATAGACAAGTTTTGTCTATTTATTTTCAGTAAGTTCCTTTCATATAGTCTGATAAACTTAATCACATTATCGTTGAAAGACGAAAGTAAAACATCATATTGATACATGTTTAAATCCAATCTAAGCTTTCGGCTTACACAAGCCATTATCAAAGATTACAATTTCGATAAATCAAACAACAAATATGTATATATACACACACACACACACACACACACACGCACACACACACTCACGCACACACACACACACACTGTTTATATGTTATTTTGGGGGATAAAATTTATTTAAGTAAAGGATTTGTTTTTAATTAAACCGTATTAATTACATTTACTGATCTGAATTTTTCGAGAAATCTCGTAGAAAATATGCATTCCCTGACAGGAATCGAACCTGTATTCTTATACGGAGACCGTCATTTGACCTGACGGGCTATAGAATTCTACGACAGAGAAGAGTCTGGTTAGCAACGTCCAAATTACTGTTTTTAACCACACAATCGTTGATGATTTTTCTCGATCGGTAATATCTACTCATGTATAGTAACGTAAACAATGACAACATATAATGAAATCGATTAAGTCTAGCAATTATTTAATATATTTTCGTCTATACGTTATTTTATAGATACAGTTTATTTAAGTAAGTGCACATATGATCAGTCGAGAAAAATAGTCGAGGATTTTCTAAAAAGTTTCTGAAAGTTTATTGTCGAATTTCCAGGAGGATTTTTTGTTTCCTATGGCTTATCTACCTCTATTGTTTTTTTAAACGGCGAAATGTAAATATTTCGTACGGGATTTTATTGTTTCTATTTTTTTTTTTTAGATAATAATGGGTTTAGTGATACAAGTTTTATTAATTAACCTATAGCTGGGGAGAGACGATGTGGATTCATATCTTCCAAAGTGTATTTGCGCGTAAGTGAATATAACGAAACCAAAGGGAAACTTCACGGCACCCTGGCTTCCCCAAATGGCTACCCATCTAGGTGCTGACATAGCTCAACGCTGCTTAACTTTGGTGATCTTACGGGAACCGGTATTTCAACATGATGTGGCCGTAATGAGGAGTTACTGTAAAGTTATCGTTATAAATTGTGAGCAAAGAATGAGACTTTCTCATACGCAAGATTACACTTTATTCAAATCTAGACTTTTGTCAATTACCGACGGGCAGTGAGTTTGTTGACCTGGGGAATTTCTTCGAACTTGGACCGTATTATCGCATGTATACATAAAAGTGATTCTCTCTTTCTCCCTCTCTGGGGTAGTTGTTTATACATCTACCTGTCTCACCGTTCGTACCTCCCCCCGCCCGCATATATAACAAGGTAACTTATTATTGACAGATAGTATTTTTTTAAAATTTCAACGCGACGATTTGGTGTTAATTGGTGTGTGTATTTGTAGTCCTTATTAATTTTCTCAGGCAGGAATATTTGTGGAGTGACCAGGTCTGACCTCGAATTGGACACATCAGAAATACATTTTTGTTTATGTATTTCATTTCCGACTGAAATGTCAGCCGAATATGTTGTGTGTTTTGGAGCAATGGCTGTGAACGAAATGGTGTAAAATTCAAACATTTGTTTGTTTTGGTTTTTTAACTCCGATTTTAAACAATGGAAAATTGAGTTATTTTGGCGTGTGAAAAGTTGATATTTGCGCGGAGAATTGAGTACAAATTCAACTCGATTTTGAGGAGACAGGTAAAGTAAAGCTGGCTCCCCAGGCAGATGTGTCAATAGAAACATACGCAGCTGCACATCTGAACGAAGACGGTACCTAATATGCACTTGAATTTTTGATTGGACCTTGAGGAACACATAGATTGAGATTCCAAGTCGTCGCCTTCTAATCTTTTTTGTGTTAAGAAACGCCAAACATATTCGATTGTAAATTATTTTATTCATCTTCATTAAATCGTCTATATTTAACTAAAGCCGACATTATTATTTCTTCGGTGAGAGAATGACTTTATTTCCAGTCAATCCAGTCGGCAAGAAGTTTACCACGGCTTACTGACTAAAGACAACTTTCTACGTCAGTAAGAATCCCAAGACCTGAAGATCAAAGACTGGGCGATTGGCGACTGAAACTGGCACCAATCCCAACACCATTGGAAGCTGTATATCTCTCCTTATCCCGTACCCGTAAGAAGATTGAGATATTGGAACAAGCGGGGTCCGAACTGAGCGGCTGCACCTCGATGGAAGGCGAGACTAGAACAACAGGGTTTAGGAGACGTGTATGGGAAGAGAGCTGATTATATATATATATATATATATATATATATATATATATATATATATATATATATATATTCAGCGTAGATGGATCGATAACGTATTGACATTATGTATCAGCCAGTGACAACGGGTACGGTGTTGTTCGACATACTCGGGTAAAGTGCTCTATACCCAATTAGACAGTCCACAAGTCAACACAGCAGCTAGCTTCTCAGAAAGAAGCTGTTGGAATGCAATGTCTATTCTGACATGATCTGGGGCGGAATGCATACGACACAACAACCGCTATTTATACATGACCTGAACAAATTCATTTTCTCCATTTAATCTTTAGCATCGAACAACCTCAAATTTTTATAAGCTAATTTTAAGAGTGTCGCATCGTACGCGAGATATAAAATTATCGTATGCACTCCTGACCCTGGCTACGCTGTTGACCAAACGATAAATGCGTTTAATGTAGTAAAATTAACTTCAAATTTAGGTCTTCAAATTTCGACTGATACGCGAGAATATACGGTATATATTTAATATTCACGAAATTTTACTTACTTATCTTTAAAATTGCCAAAGAAAAACGCTTATGATACTTCTTTTTTTTTTTTCAATGAGCTGAGCGAAATTCATTTTTAGGAAGGTGACAGAAAAGTAAAAAAAAATCAATACAGAGTGTATTTTAATTTCAAGCTGCCAATTTTGTTACGTTGGTTAGAAGGGTTGATGTTAGACAGGAAATCTTGTTTACGCAAAATTCGGATATTTTCATTTCGAAAAAAACTGAAAGCAAAACTGCTTATTTTTCAAATCTGATTACATTGTATTTACTGAAATAGACGTTTCTTATTATTTATTATACGCATTATATATATATATATATATATATATATATATATATATATATATTACTTTGTGAGTGTGCGTGTGATACGGAGTAGATAAGCGAATATTTCTTTGTTACTGTTTGTCTAAATGTTTAACTTAAGCTTGAATAAATAAGATTAACCCTGCAACAAATTATTCCCGTCTAAAAGGAGAAAGTATTTAGGTTTATAAATTTACTGAAGGGTGTCTTCAACAATATTAGAAATTAAACGCGGAAAACAAAACAAGCAAAAGGAGAACGTAGATGCAAAATAAAAAAAAGAGAAAGCCGACGTTGGCAACCAGTTTCGGAGAAGGATTATCCTAAATTCAAATATGGTAAAAAAAAATGGGCCGCAGATACCATGTATTTAAATGAAAAGCACAAAAAAATAAATTTCAGCCTCTTGAAAGCGATTATCCTATATGTTGTAGACACCCATGGATATTGGGTCCAATGATTGACAGATTGACTTTTTTACGGTTTATCAACCGTTTGTGGGTTCTTTAAAGCAGAAAGATATTTTGGATTGTAGGAGCTTGCTTACTACAGTCGGGGATCTTAAACGGCCCCTCCCCAAAATAAGTAGGACTATATAGATCCACCTATCGTCCGGTTTACACTCTTGCCCGGAGTTTTGAACAGGAGTAGGAGTTTTTCCTTTGCTTCCTGTTCCTTGTCGATTCTACTTCAACTCTTTATTTCTAACGTCACCGCCTAAACACTGAAATTTATATGATTATTATTGGGATTCCTGTGACTTCTCTTTCACTTCCAGCAGAGTTTTAATGACGTATTCACCTTGCTTGGTTTGTGCGTGTGTGTGCGTGTGTGTGTGTGTGCGTGTATGGGATTATTGATTAAAAATTACCGATCGGACTCGAACTGCAAAACTTCGATGATCGAAGGAGTATTGCTGTTTTATGAAACTAAATAAGGTTTTAGATGAATACCACGATGATCGAATGTCAACATGCAACGTAGAGAATAATTAAAATGAACAAAACAGGGCAGAGAATTAATGGATAAGCAGTTCATATATATATATATATATATATATATATATATATATATATATATATATATATATATATATACTACTGTACCTGTAACGTCAACAGTGGAGGCAATTGTTAGAAAGTTTTAATAGTTTAATGCATCGAAACAAATGTCTTGAAACAATGTATGGAAACACAACAAAGGGAAGATAAAGAATTCATAACTAATTAAGAAGTCAGTGAAACGTTTAATTAATCTTTTCACATAATATTTTTTCGATATTCAATGCTAGCTACGATTCATAAATTACTCAGAGTATTACATAAATCCCTTTTTGTTCAATATCTTTTCATATAGAAATTCTATGTCTTTAATATAAGAGTGAAATGGGAATATCTTTCGGAAGAGAAGAATTAGCAACATAACGACAAATACGTAGAAGACAAAGCCTATTTAAAGACCAAGCTGAAGCAACACGGTCACTTAATAAACAAAGCTATCTGAGTGCTTCACGTGAAATGCTTGAACAAATAAGACTGCAATGTAAGAGTCGTAGGAGTAAAGGAATTAAATGGTTAATTTTGCTCGGGAACCTCTTTGGTCTAAATGCGGATAAATATTTTATTTGTATAGAATATTTAAACAGCAATTAATTTACTAACTTACGTTGATTTACCTCTCTTCCCACTACACATGCTACAGGAAATATATAATTAAGTACACATTGATAATTATTATATTGTTTGATGTTAACTGAAGTATATCTTACCTTGAAATGATTAGCAACTTATTTACGTACCACAACAAATTTTGTTTTTTAATACGTTCATTGTCAATACACGGAAATCATTTGTGAACTGTAATGGTGATAACAGCCGCTTCCTTTCAAGAAAAAAAATTTGCATTCATTGGCCGAGCAGCTACTGTTGCTGCCAGTTTAAATTTTAAAAATCATTGACTTAAGACAATTTTTAAGAATTTTTTTACAACTAGTCCTGTAGGAGTTATTATTCTTTCCAGTATTAAAAGAAAATTTATTTGAAGTAGTGTAGAAAATTATTCCCTCTTCAAGTTACATGTGGTTTGAATTTAGGTTATTGCTGCTGTTGAAATTCTTCAAGGTTTCTGTTATTTCGTACAGTTTGCGATCCTGTAGCGCCAGTTTACTACGTCCAAAGAAGGATGATCTTTGTCTTGACCAAAATGCTTCCCTCGCCGAAAGCCATTTTTAAGCGTTAATATTTAAAGGCACAGTTGACAGGCTAGATATTTCTGAAAAGGTTTTTTTTTGTTTTGTTTTACGGCATATCATCCTCAATGGGTTATTTAATGCCGAAAAGATTTTTATTGCTGGTAATATTTTTTATCTATCTATCTCAGTATATATTAGTTTGGTTTGTTTTGTTTTACGGCATATCATCCTCAATGGGTTATTTAATGCCGTAAAGTTTTTATTGCTGGTAATATTTTTGTTCAAAAATGTATTGCTGGTTATATTTTTTTCACAAAAATGTATTGCTGCTGATGTTTTTTTTTTTCAAAAATGTTTTGCTGGTAATTTTTTTTCAAAAATGTTTTACTGGTAATAATATTTTCTTCAAGAATTTATCGGTGGTTATATTTTTTTTACAAACTCTATTGCTGTTATTAAAAACTATTTTTACACTTTCATAGCGTTTTGACCCCAGTTTGGTGTTAACTATTTGCCCATAGCTGGGAACCTTATCAGGTGCTACCACCCCGTATCAGGGTAGACCTGGTAATACCAGCAATTAAGAGGTGGTTCCACGTTCCTCAAAACCTCCTGATCAGAGGCCTTGATGTTGGGCGTAGTTTACCATCTTACCCAGAACGCGGGTGTAGTTTATCGTCTTACCCAGGAAGCGGATGTAGTTTATCTTTATACCCAGGACGCGGATGTAGTCTCACTTTCTAGGTTAACTATTTGCCCAT